GGGAATAATGAGGGCAACAAATGTATAGATGTGCTTTACACAATTGATCTATGTATTGTGATGAATTGTATGAGCCCCAATAAATTGATTTAAAAAATTAATTAATTAACTTTTAAAAAAGAACATGATACAAGGCAATGATTTTCAAATAAAATCAACAACCATTTAACTACCACCAAATGGCAGAACTACTGCAGACCTTCTCAATGTGTCCTTCCTCTCGATCTTTCCAACCCACCCTTGTTTTCCAGAGAGAAGCTCTACCATGGCTTCTATAACCAAACACTTTTTTTGGTTTTGTTTGTATTTACAATTTCACTCAAATACGATGGATTTCACCAAAGTTGTCTCTACTTTTTAAAGCAAACTCATCTTTTCCTCAATGACAGCATAAGGTATGTACTGTTTTGTAACTAACAAAGTTGTTACTGTGATTCATCTATTGTTCTCTGCTGCATAATACTCTATTGTGGTATATCAAACATTTAAAAAATCTTCCTAGTGGATGGCATGTGTATATTATGTATATATAGGTACAAAGCTGTCTGAATATATTGCCACATGCTTTTTGGTATGTTCTAATGGATATACCTGGGTGTGTATACACAACATTTTTCAAGTATGTATCACAATATAAAAACTCTTTTGTTCTATATAAGCATTATTTTTATCCATCTTCTAGCCAACCACCATTTGTTAATTTTAGTCTTTTAAAATGTATCCATTTAAGAAATAAAAGCAATATGATTTATAAAAAGTACAAAAAGTTTCACCTTCTCCAAGTCTTTAAGTGCTTAATGGGCTTTTCATTTTTAAGAAGTGGTGTTATTAAAATTTCTGAAGACTAATTAAACATGTATTTCTTTATAATTAGGACTTTTATGATCTATCTAATATATTCCTAATGCCAAAATCATAGGTTTATACTGCTATGATACCTGTTGCACTCTCTCTCTCTTAAATCTGCTATCTCTCCTCTACCCACTGCCCCCAATTGCATTTTTTTGGTAGGTGTAAGAGATTTGTCAAATGTATTTCATTAAAAAAAATTAATGTCAAAACCCAATTTTTAAGAGACCATTATTTTTTTTTAATTTAAGACCAAGAAGTACAATAGATCCATCTTGTTGTACTTCAAATATATACGTGCCCTTTTCTATTTTAACCCTTGTGTCAATAAAAGATGCATAATTAATGTAGTTTTATACTAACTCTTAATTACCGCAGGGAAGGTTCTACGTTTCCCCACCCCCTTTTTTTTCTTTTTTTCTTTTTCATTCTCTCTCACTAATTACTATCCAGTTGATTCTGACTCCTAGTGATTGTGTTACTCCAGGTTGACTAGAGAAACAAATTCATAGACACTCATATGTGTATATGAAAAAGCTTTATAACAAAGAACAATTGTATATTGAGAAAACATCCCAGCGCAGTCCAGATCAAGTCCATAAGTCCAATATTAGCTCATGCGTCCGATACCAGTAAATTTCCCTTCAGACTCTCATAATACATGCAATGACATCAAATGCAGGAAGATGACAGGCCAGTGGGTGGAAAGTCTTGTGGATCCAATGGCAGTGGAAGCATCTCAGTACTGGCATGCGTCTCCAGGTGGCTTCTTCAGCTCTAGGGCTCTGGCTCCATCAGTGTAGCTCCCTCCATGTGGCTTATCAATAGGAATACAAACCAGAGAGTCTGTCTTTCCTCCAGGAGTTCCTAGAATCCTCAGGAGAAGGCCAGGACCACACAGAGGCCTCATTGGCTATGAACTGATTGACAGGTGAAACTCCACCCCTTCACCAGAGATTATGTAACTGCCACAGTGACCCTATAGGACAGGGTAGAAGGCCCCTGTGGGTATCCCAGACTGTAAATCTTTTCCAGATTTGGAAGCTGCTGAATGTCTGGTGGTGATGAACTACAGACCTTGTGGTTAGCAGTTACCAAACTGGTATCCCATTATGCCACCAGACCTGTGTAATACCATATATGATTTAGAAGGTGCTTGATGAATTTTGAATAAAAACCTTTACAATTTTAATTCAGATTGAACTGAATATATAAATCAACTTGGTGAGAATTAAAATTTTAACAATATTAAGTATTTAATCATGAATATGGTAAGTACCTCGATGTATTTAATTATTCACTTATTTTTATATTAGTCTTATGATTTTTTAGTTGCTTGTTTTTTCCCCCTTCTATAATTCATTATAAGGGAAATTAGAAATATAGTGCCAATTAAAATGAATTTTAATCACAAAAAATAAGTATTATATAAGGTTTGTATTCTAGGTGTTATTGCATCTGACTGTGTAGAGTGTGCCAGCTCCATTAGCTTTTCTAAATATGCATTAAGAATTGCATGTTATATTCTGTTTATTTAACTGTCGTCTCTTTGCGCCTGGGCCTTGGCAACAGGCAGAACTTACTGTTACAGCATGATATCAAGTCTAATGGAAAGTGGCATAATATTTAGTAAGATGTAAATATTTCTAGATTTTGATATTTGAAATTCCAAATTATTGGTAATTGATAAGCTAATTAAAAATTATTACATTAAAACCAAGATAAGAGTTTTACATAGCTTGAGCTCTTTTCCCTTTTTCAGTTATAATAAATGTAAATTTTATATATGAGCTCTGAAGTCATAATGGCTCGTGTTTAAGGTTTCAAGTTATTTAACTTCTTGGAACTTCACTTAGCTTAATCTAGGAAATGTACTTTTTGTCTTTTTCCTTACCACTATTGATTTGATCCTGACTCATGACAACCCTGAAGGGCAGAGTAGAACTGTCCTGTGGGTTTCTGAGACTGTAACTCTTTATAGGAGTAGAAAGCCTCATCTTTCTCCCAAGGA